AAACCAATATTACCTTGCATAAAACAATCGCTTATACATACATAGTTACAGTTACAAACAGTAATGACTGACGAACGCAACAACGATAACATAAAATTGTTAAAAAATGATAAAGATTTAGTAAATGTAATAATCATAGTTGTTATAATATAATAACGAAAATATATAAAATAAATAAATAAAATATAAACAGAAAAAAACTAAAGACAAAACAAAAAATTTACAACAAACAAAAAACATTATAAACAAGACATTATATAAATGTTAACAAAAGTAAAAAAATTCATTATTGTAATAAAGCAAACTAACAAAAATTAAATATTAAAAGATAAACATACACACTCATGCATACATATGTACATACAAACATATAAATATGCATACAGAAATACACACGCACATACATATTCACATACACACGCACATACAATTTATACAATCTATATATTTGTTTATGTAACATCCACAGTTAAAAAACTTTTAATGCTGTTTAAACAAGTTAAAAAAATTAACGCTTCCTTCAGTTCTTTTTCTCACTCGAATTTTTACTTTATTCAATCTATAGATTTTTTCTTCACTTTTTAACTTTTTTATTGTTCTTTTTACGTTACTTTAACTTTTAAATTTCTACTTTCTTTGTTGTAGTTGCTTTTCGATTTATTTAAGTTTTAAGTTTTTTTAAGTTCTTTTTCTTTTCTCTGCGTTCTTTACTTCAGTTTTTTTTTAGTATTTCTTTTCGTTTCATTTATTTAGTACATTCCCCCCCCCCCCCCCCAAAGTTTACATTGAAACAGCTTTTTTCATTCTTCTTTTTTTTTCGATAAAAGTTTTCGTTAAAAAAATGTGTCCGCCATTCCGGAAGCCCTGGAATTTGATTTATTAATTTTGTGGTATATCAAACGATAGAGAATTTAAAATACTAAATAGTGATATAAACAACCTCATACTGCCAAAAATGGACTTGGTGCATTTCCCTTGTATGCCGACAATATATAGGTAATTGTGTTTATTTAAACACCAAGTGAATGTTTCTGAGGCACTTGCCTCAGAAACGTAAAATCCGTGGTTCAAACCCCACCTCTGGGCAAGTTTTGCGACATCGGTTGGGAAGAAGGCGTGAACTTCCTATTAAATGGTCTTCTGTGGTGCTCTGTGATAAGACCGTAAGGACTTCTTGGGGCACCTAAAATCAACTTAAAAAAAAAAAATGTTTTGGTATTATTGTGTGTACATTTGTATTCTTAAAAGATTGATAAACTATACAATAAACTAGAGCGATATAATGCAGTTACTTATATTAGTTATGTTTTATTATAAATATTAGCTTTTACTATTTTTGCTATAATTGTTATTGTCTTTATTGCTATTAGTTTTATTGTTATTATTGTTTTTATTATTTCAATAATAGTTATTATTAATATTATTACTATTACTATTTTTATTATTATATTGAATAGAGTACTTTGAACAAATATGGATCTGACTTTAATTTAACCTGCACTTAATCTAAAACTTTTTAAAATTTTTTTTATGTTGCAAGATCCAGGGCAATAGTAAATATTTATAGTCATTTATCAAAATAAACATAAGTTGAAGATTAATTAGAGTTCCCTTATTGGATTTGTTTTAAGAACTTCAAAATTGAGTAAATTCACATTAACTCTTTTTAAAACCAAACACACATTTTAGACACTTTAACATGCATTTTATTTTGCATCTAGATGCTTGAATTTGTGAGGATTTTTTGTAAAAGCAAATTCTACACACTCTAATAAAAATAATTAACTGCTAATGATTATTTATTTTGCTTGTACCTTTTAAGAGGAATGATTAAAAATACAAATAAATTTAGGATGTTTTTCTTTCAACATTTTAAATTTATGTTTTGTTTATTTTATAAACAAATATTCATATTGATTTTATTCAAAATAATGGAGAAGACCATATTGTTTATTTTATATAAGCTAATACTGTAATATTCTATACTCCCTCTTTTTCTTTTCGTACACACACATACATACACACTCACTCACACAACCGCAATTTGTTGTTTTAATCCCTAGACTTTTAGAAAAGTTATAAAAATCAAAATCTGTTTACAATACAATTGGAGTTGACAGTTTAAATGTGGTTTGTGAATTACCTAGCTTAACATTCTATGCTAAATTTTGTTTAGTATTTAGTAACAATTACTTTAAGGCAGACAAAATTTTTTTTAGAAACTCTATTCATTGTGTTAATAAATCAATACTTCTAAATGTATCAAACATTAATAGTTTTTTTACTTACTTTTGTTGGAAAGAGTTGTTCTTATATATTTTCAAATTTTTTAAATAAAAATTGTATTATAGTATTTAAAATCCTAGGAATCTAAACAAATATAGTTTATATCAAATTAAAGTTGTCTATTTAAAAAATATTTGAAAGGAATTTACACTCCCTTTTTTTTATTTTAGTCTTTTTTTTCTAATATATTTATCCCTTTTCTGCTTATATGTCTATTCATATATCATATTATGTTAACATTCCTCTAAATAGTGTATATAATAAATTCAATATATGTTAGTAATGATGTACAGATTTGCATATGCTTAATTAGCTAAATTTTCAGAATCTGCTTTTCAGTTATAATGGTTAACAACTCAGTAGTAGTACCAAAGGACTGAAATCTGTATTTTAGTTAGACTTCATAACTTTTTTAGATGGATATTAGAAGTACTTGGATTGAAGTTAGATGGATATTAGAAGGCAAATAAAGGTTCAGAGACAATAATAGTAGCAAAAAGATTATTCAATAGCTATTGATCAAGCAATTTTTAAAGAGTCTGAAAGATCACACTGACTCTTTTAAGTATAGTTAGAATCAGTTGGTTTAAACCTGGTTCTATGATAAATTAATAAATTGATATATTGTTATATGCCCAGGCCAGACTTTTTAGAGTCTTTGTGGACAAAAGGATAGCATATATCTAAGGATGAAAGAGCTAATTTTTAAACTAGTTTTAGAAAATACAAAAAGGTCTAGTGAATGTTGCAAATTTCATCATATAAAAATTTATTTATGACACCCTAAGCAATTAGCTATATAGTTGCTTAAATACTACTCAAAGTTGTTAAAACCAACTCAAAGTTGTTACAGCTTTGGGCTTCTTATGTGTTCTCAGCAGTTCATTACCACAGATACCTTCTATACATAACATAACAATCTGAATGTTTTTATATTTTACAACCGTTAGAAGAATTAGCCTTTTTGAGTGCTACCACAGAGTTCATAAATTTAACTACCAGCAGCCTTAGAGCAACTAAATTGAATTTCATATATATATATATATATATATATATATATATATATATATATATATATATATATATATATATATATATATATATATATATATATATATATATATATATATATATATATCGTTGGTATACAACGGAAATGCACAAAGTCCAAATACATCATACATACATCAGTTCTGCTCATTTTTTCTAATATGAGATGTACTCATTTTACAAAACAGAAGCAGAATTGCAACTGCACTGCCGTGGAGACACAAACAAAAATTTATCTTAATTAATCTTTATTAGCAACACCCTTTTTTCTGTCTACTACCATTAGCACCAGTGTTGGTTGAAAACCTACAATTGGTGCACCACTATAAATTTGTATTCATCTACTTTATTTTTAAATGGTAAAACCCATATGGCCAAAAATTGTATAATTATACAAATATGTCTTGTTCTACTTAAAATAAATTAATGTTAAAAAAAAGTTTTAAATTGAATTAATACTTTTTTAAAATTTAATTTTAAATAATTAAAAAAATAGTTATTAAATTATTCTCTGAGCATTTGATTAATTAAAGGATTGATAAATTAATATATGAAAAAACAATAAAAAAATGTGGAGAATTCATTTGATGTTTTTACTTTTTCTACTCAGAAGTCCTACAAACTACAAAATTAAAAAAAAAAAAAAATTATAGAAATTATTGTTTACGTTAAATAATTTACTCAACATTTTGTGTGTGGGAGAAAGTAAATGTGAGAGACAACTGTGTTAGTTTTTTTGTAGCTTTAAATTGCACTTTAATTTAGGTTACCTATAACCTAATTTAACTAATTTATTTTTTAATTGAAAAAATTTATTACTAAAATAGACGGGTGGAAAATAGTTTTGTTTTTATATTTAGCGTAGTACTGAAAAAAAACTTATCCTTTGAATATTGCTAAAAGAATGATTAATCAAGAAATGGATTTACCAATATTCATTAAGCACTATATATCTGATGCTATAGGTACCAAATTTTGGTTAAAAATGTTTTTTGTTATTTAATGTCAAAACTTCTCTTATTATAATCGGTGTTAGTCAGGCAAACAAAAAAGCTCTCCTTTTTTCCATCAAATCTATTATGTTTCATAACTTCTTTAGTGTTATTAGACTTATTTTCATACAAAGGATTCTACACAATGGAGTTTAGTTATTTATTTGCTTATTGAATTTTTTAATAAAAAGCACTTATGCTTGTTTTTTAATCAATACTATTATTAGTTATGCATATTTTAAAAAAAAGGTACTTGTAAACAAAATAGCATAAGATTTTCAATATACTACAATTGAATAATTTATGTTTAAGGAGTTTTTGTAAGCTTTATTTAACAATAATTAATTTTTGCATTTTCAGTGTTTCTATATAAAAAATTATAAATATAAAAAAAATTAATAATCATATTATTTACTTAGGCTTCGGAGTTTTTGCAAACATGGATATTCCAAAGGGATCATTTTTATTAGAATATCCTGGTGAACTTGTTGAGCATTGTGAAGGAGAAAAAAGGCAAAGTTTTGCAGAGAAAAATAATCTGGGATGTTTTATTTATTATTTTTTTTTCAATGGTAAACATTACTGGTATGTAATTTTGAAATGTGTTAAAAACACTAATAAAAGAATTTCAAGGTAAATTTAATTTATTATTTTTTTCATAGTGTGGATGAAACATTTTCTTCTCGAATGGGAAAGGTTCTCAATGATAGTTCACCATCTTATTAAAATTGTTTTATTAAAGTTGTTTCTGAGAGAAATGTTTCTCATTTATTTTCTTTTTTCAACAAAATATATTCCAAAGTTTACAGAATTACGGTGAGATGTAAGATATATGATTTATTTTTTTTCGCAAAAATTCATAAAAGTTCATTTTTCACAATGATATTCAATCAGTACAAATTTATAGGTATAGCTATGGTGAAACATCTAGATTATCTTGGCAAAAGCAGGTTTGTTTTATTTGTGAAGTTTTGTAGCTTTTATTTGCTATTATTGGTTGACTAATTTTATTGCATTGAGAATGCTTTCATAATAATCATTAATATTTAATCATTTAAATTTTTTTTATTTATTTATGTTTGTATTAGTCTATTTACAGAAGACCATTAATATTGACAAACATGGATGTACGTAAAGCTTTTACTTTTTTTTGTTCTTGAAAATTTTGTAAATATAGGTTTGATTATTTTAATAACATTTTTTTACACCTAATTATTTTATTTGAATTTTGAAAGATCTTTAGACACAGATTATCTTATTTCAGGTTAGAAATTTCTTTTATAATTAACATTATTTATCTTTTAGGTAGAATTAAATATATTATTTTTATTTTTGTTTTTATTTCCTATTATATTTAAGGAACAAAAATTTATTCAATATTTATTACAAGTATATCTAAATATTTTTTTCTAAAGTTTTATTTTATGAATTCTCCAGATAGTATTGACCACAGCAATGATAAAATCACTAACTGTATCAAGCAGCAGCAGCCTTCTAATGATAATCAAAGCGTTAATGAAAGTAATGTTTTGATATTTTAAAATATTGAAAATCAATGTTTAATTTTTTATATTAACCCACAAACCATATATTTTGAAGACATTCTAATAGAGTAACTAGAATACCATTGCATAGTCTAAATAGGTACGGGACCAGTGTTCCACAAAGTTCAGCAAACACTTTACCAATTTTAATTACAAAAGTTATTGTAATTCATTTATTTTTTTGAGTGGTTCAAATTTTGGTGAGATACAAGAATTAAATTACTTTTTATATAACTTTTAATATAATAGACCTAACTTAAAAAAATCTAGTTCTTCATGAAATAAGTATCATACACATAATAATATGTTTATTAGAAAACATGATCTAAACTTCTAACTTATTTATTCTTGTATATATATATATATATATATATATATATATATATATATATATATATATATATATATATATATATATATATATATATATATATATATATATATATATATATATATTAAGGTTATTCAAAAATAGGTCATGTCAAAATTTTGATAAGAGCCCTACCCAGCAAACATCAAGCAGGCGGACCGATAACGGACCGCTGTCAGCACTTATGTCGTACCGACGTCGGCCGCCCGTTGCGTTGTCGCGTTGGCTTGCACATCGGTCCGCTAGCGGAAAACTGAAGGCGGTTCGACAGCGGACCTATGGCGGCAAATCGACAACGTTTGAGAAACGGTCCGTCAGCGGCTAAACAATGATAAAGCCATTGCGGAATAGCATAGGATCTATAATAAGTTTTGACTAAGATTTGATTGCATTGATATACATATAATTATTTTTATTTTTTTGTTTGAATAGAACGCACTTATCGTTAGCAAAAATCTTTATATCTTTCACCTCAAATTTTTACTCATAAAAAAATGCAAATCCTGCCAATGCCTGGAAACACATCAAATATCTTTTGACTTTGTGCATAGGTATATAGACAAAATACGAATTTATTATACTAAAATTCTCCTACCACCGAAAAACACTACCCCAACTGTAAATCAATAGGTCATACGTGGCAAGGCTTAAGCTTGGTGAACAAAAAGACTAATCAGAAGTTATAATAAAAATCATTTTAAGATTGCAATTTACAATTACAACATGAATATAAAAGTAACAATATATATTTTTTAAACTAAAACAAAATATAGAGTATATTTGCATCTATAGATTATTGCTTCACTTGCGTTTAGCGAACGTTTAAAATATAAAATAGTTAACTTTCAACATATCTATAAATTCAGTTTATTCTCATTTCAATCGAAAACTAAATATATTCAGAAAACCATGTGTTGAAAATTGATTTACGTTGCAGTCTGCAAACTTCTAACTTTCACCTAAAAACAGGCAATGATATATAATGAAAATACTGAAACAGTCAAGTTTAGAGCTATTACAACAAAGATAATAAACTAACCTTCTCAGCCCTTAAAAACGTGTTCGTTTGAAAGTCTGATCACCAGTTATTGACAAATAACTTCAGATACTAAGTGCATCTACATTGAATAAATATAAATTTAATTTTATTATTTAAGCATAATTTAAAACATAAAAACAAAAAAAATATTGTTTAAATTGAAAAGCTATGGAAATAACTTAAAAAAAAAAGCTATATAAAAATAAAGTCATATTGCGTGCCTTTTTTAAAAAATAAAACATCATATACAGTAACCTACCTGGTATACCTAATCCCTAATCCTATAAATGTGGGGTATAAATATGCTTGAGGAGTTTATGAATAATAAAAAAAATTTGTTATTTCATTAAAAAAATTTTCTTTAATTTTAATTTTAATTTAACAAATAAAATAGTATTTAAAAATGAAATACTTATATGCCAGGTTGGAAGTAAAACCGTAAAACCCACAGCAACTTAAGGGCGATGGTGAACCTTTTGCAAAGCATAAGCCTAAGACACAAGTGCACATCTGAAAAAGAAAGAATCAGAGACAGAAAACATCAATAAAAATATATTTTGATAAACTAAAACATAGTTTGTAAATTGAACATAGTTTTCACAATACAAAAAAAAACATAGTGCAATATAATATACTATAAAAATTCCTTGAAAAATATAAAAAATCAAATAATTGATTGAAATAAAACGATTTAGTAAATAAGTATATAATTTTTTTCTAATAAATTATTTGTAGGTATATAAAGAGCAAACAAATATGTTTAAAGAAAATATGATTTAAATGGGTATAAGATAGATGTTTGCAAATCAAACATCTATCTTATACCCATGGCAATATTTGGATCATGGTCAACATAATTCTATGAAATATAACTCTGGTTGAGGTAAACGGTTTCCTGTAAAGAAATAATATTAAATCATAAATGTAACATTAAATTACAAGCGTATTTGAACGGAATTGTTAAAGCAATCCTTTAAAATAATGGCTTGTAAAATAAAAATTTTGTTAGATTTTTATTCATCTGCTTCACTGGTTAAATACCAAGTTAATTTAGCTTTCCATCAATAACTTAATATTTTAAAGCTTATAGTTATATTTAAATTTAATATATAATCAAACAAATCAAACAGTAGACAGACTCCAGAACTTATATTTTGAATTTTCTTCAAAAATAACATTAAAATAATATCAAAATAATAAAATTAAATAAATATCAAAATAATAAAATTAATTTTACTTTATTCTCTGGTAAGATTCAATATCACGATTTAAATTTTCATCTACAAGCTCATATACAAAAGGTTACTGTAAAATGGAATAAATATGAAAAACACAGATCAATAATACTCATTACACAAAAAACTTTACTCTATTGAGTTTAAAAATATATAAAATATTGTAAAATAAAGATAACAAATATGTAAATAAAGATGCTAATTTTATTTAGCAATGTTATTCATCTTCTGAACTAAATTATTTAATGGCATTGGAAAACTTGATGGAGGCATCATTTTCTTGGCTTGTTTGTTTTTTTGGTCTTGTCTAACTTTTTTTCTGCCATTGCAGTCTGATGCACCACGCAAAAAACGCACAACCTCATATTGAAAATCTGATTCAGTTGCTGAAGTTGTTGATGGATTTCTTTTTACAGCTCCTAAAAATTAATTTAAGACTTTTATTTAACTATCTAGCAGAAAAACAAAAAATATATTTTTTAACTTAATTTCAGACATATATAGAATTTTTTTTAAAGCAATTTATTAACAAATTTTATTTATGTATTTATTAATTTTTTATTTTTATATAGTTAATAAATAAATTTTATTTATTTATCAACTATTTATCAACAAATAGATTAGTAAATACTAAATTAGACACAAGTAATTATTAAATTAGAGTAACAAGCCCCTACAAAAAAAATTACTTTTAATTAGTCTTTGTTTTACAAAGTTACTTTCATTGTCATTTATGGTAATACCAGACCAGTTAAGTTTACAGCAGAGGTTATTAGTGAATAATGCAAAAGACATTCTCTGGACAGCCTCCTTTAAAGTCTGGCCTCCTTTACTTGCCACAGCTATTATCTACAGAAAAAATAGAAAAAGCATCAGTAATATATATACTGAAGAAAATTTTTTAAAAAATTAAAAAAAAAATAGATATCAAATTAATGCCATTAATTATTGCATAACATTTATTAATAGGCTTTATGTTCTTTATTTCTGTTTATAAATGATCTAGCTGGTGTACCACAAATAAAAGCTGATATAGCGAACTTATATACTTTACCATTAATACTAATACCAGAATCAAATAAAGCAATACTTTCAATATCAAACATTTTTAGAAATTCATTACGGTCTTTTGGTTTAGACCTACTATAACAAAGACTAATTATAAATGGGGTTTTATTGTGTTGAATATTGTTTATCCACATTTTTTATTAAACCTAATATTGGCCAAAATTGTCCAATGCTGCTTTTAAACAATGGTAAATCATCAATTTTGACTTGAATTGGTATACAATCCTTTTTCTTTAAAGAACTTAAAGTATTACTTAAAATATCTTGTCTAATGCCAATATTTAATATCAATAGATTACTGTCAGAGTTCACTTCACAATCAATATTATTTGCACCTTAGGAAACAGCACTCTCAGTTGAAAGTTTTCAATTTGTTATACTTTTTAAATAATATATAAGTATAGATATAGATATAAATATAAATTATAAATATAGATATAAATATAATATATTATAATATAATATATAGTAAAGTATACTTTATATTATATTATAATATATTATATTTACGTCTATATTTATAATTTATAAATATAGATATCATGTAACTTTTAATATTTATAAGCAATAATTATAGCTAAGTATATTTTATAATATAAAGACTTTATATTATAAAATATAATTTAATAAATAAAATAAATCGGACTTTATATTATAAAATATACAATATAGGTTATATATATTAAATCTACATCTATACTTAATTAAAGTATAGATGTAGATTTAATATATATAACCTATATTGTAAGACTTAAAAATAAAAAGACTAATTTGATTTTTTTTAATACTATTTATTTATTACTTACTGTTTTACATAGACTATGTACTACAGTATAAAATATAAAAATCGATCAATCTAAGTCTCATGGCGCTTGAAATGCTTACTTTTGGTGTTTTTACGACATCTTACCGTTATCCGGGAGCCATTGTGTTGGCAAAACTAAAGCGTATCGTCATTAACATACCGAAGCTGGCATGCCTATTTAAAATCGCATTGACAACGAGGTGTTTTATCGCTCTTTGGCCGATGGCGGAAAGTCATCACAAATTAGCATGCCGGTCCTACATCAGCTACCCGGCAGCGGTAAGCCGCATTAGGAATCACAAAGGGCCAGCACCGGCATTCCGGCGGCGGCTTTGCGCATCGCGGTCCGCTGAAAGCATGTTTGCTGGGTAGCTTATGATCTGCCCTGACCCCAAATTAGTACTTAAAATTTTTTACAAAAATTTCTTTGAGCATCGGAAAGGTCCCCACAGAGGGCAAAAGGGTCAATTTTTGCCCCTTTGAGGAAAACTTTGCCCCGCTTGTGGGACCCTTAAAATTCATCCAATTTTTAAAAAATATTATCCATTTTTATGTTAATAAGTTTTAATACTTAAGTTTAAAGGGCTCTTTTTTTTAATTCATACTTAGGTATTTGTTTATTTTTATTAAAAAGTGGATTTTTAGTATCAAAATATCTTATATTTTAGGGTTTTTTTTAATAATTTTATATTCAAAAAGATAATTTTTTGACAAAGTTTGTTTTGCGTAAAGAATAAAAAAGATTTTAAATAAAGTAGAGAGAGAAAATAATTGTTTTTAAAAAATTAAATTTTAAATTTATGATTCATTTATCTAACATACAAATATTTAAACATTTAATTTTAGATCAACATAAAATAAAAATATTTTATAAGATGCCGCCCATAAAGAAAAATAAAATAATTGATGAAACTTTCCTTGTGGGAAAAATAAATTATACTATTTCCAACAACAAGTTTGCTACTACAAAAGATATTTTTCAGTACTGCAACTTTCGGAGGAAATCTAGACCTGAAGTTAAACTGAGTTTTATTGTTGGATGCTCTAACAAAAGTGGATCTTTCTCAACAAACTGTCTTACCAGTTAGTTACATTGCTGCAAAATATCTAAGCTTGTTGTTGCGTGGACATGTGGTGGCTTTGAAGTCATTACAACCCAGAAGTTAAGGTAATAATAGATCAAATTTTTAAAGTTAGGAAAAAGCTAAGTTTAAGCACTTAGTAATAATAATTTCATTTTAAAGGATAAAGGTAGAAAAAATGGTAAATAACTGGATGAAGCTGAAAAGCTAAAGTAAAAGAAACAACCCTGCTGAAGTGAAAATAAGAAAAAACTTTAATGAAAGCATGAAAAAGGTTTTCTGGATTGGAGAAAACCCAATTGATATGATTGAAAAAATAAGAAAAGATAGGTTAATAAACCAAAATGACAAAGAGGAAGACATATCTTTCCTTAAAGATCAGTTAAAGGAAATGAAAGCAATAAATTTAAATGTAATTATAGTAAATTAGACTATAGTAAATTATATTTCATTTCTTACTATAATTAATTTACTATATTATAGTAAATTAATTATAGTAAGAAAGGAAAGCATAAATTTAAATGTAATTATAGTAAATTAGACAAAGTATCTAATGCAGATTCTGAAACTTCATCAAGTTCTCTTAATACCAATAAAAGTATTTCAACTGATAGTGATTTTGAAATTGAGACACATATTGATCCTAGCTCTGTCAACCTACCCAAGGATATCTTGCACCGTACTGGTCACACAGCAGTTGGAGAGGGTTTAACTCCACATCAACACACAGCGATTCTTAGCAGTATTATAGTCAATTCTGGAAGATGCACGTCTGATTTTGTATGCTCAAACTCATCTTCATACAGAACAGCAGAGAACGCTGTGTTTATGGGTGCAAATGAAATCAGAGACCATATAAAAAGAATTTCTAAATCTTCAAATTCTCAAATAACAATTCATTTTGATGGAAAAATTGTCAAAGACCTTACTGAAGAAAAACAGTTTTCAAAAGATAGGTTAGCTGTTCTTGCTAGGATTAAAGGACAAACCGAGTTACTTGGAGTACCAGCATTGACTCCGGTTCTGGAGAACACCAAAAAGAAGCTAGAAGAACTCTTTTTTAACTTTATATTAGATGATAAAGTTCAGTGTCTTTGCTTTGATAGCACTAGCGCTAACACAGGTAAAATAAAAGGAGCTTGATTAACTAGCAGAATAATTATACACTTACAACGCCCTATGTTGTTTACTGCATGTCGACGTTATATTTGTGAGCGTCATGTTACCCATTTTTGGGAGCTTTATCCAAGCAGCCATACTTCAGAGTCAGAAAATAAATTATTCAAATTTCTTAAAAACCATTGTAATGATCAAGATACTTAAAAGCAAGATTTGAAAAGATTATCAACTCCGATTAGTTCCTGGATTAATAAACAAAAGTTGAATGCAATTCAATTTTGTAGATATATAACTAGCACTAAAGTTTTAAAAAAGGTGAGAGTAATAAATAGTTTTATTAAAATCTTTATTAATAATTCAATTAAATCTAATTATTTCTTACAATTTCAAAAAAAAAATAAAAAATAAAAGAGTAAAATAGTACTTCACTTATAATTTGATTATAAGTGAAGTACTATTTTATCTGAACTTTAATTTTGTTTTAAGTTATTTAAGTTATCACTAATTGTTAATAAATATTGTTTAGGATGGAAAGTATCGTAAAGATTATCAATAATTGGCTGAACTTACTTTGATGGTACTATCACCCACCGACAGATTCAAACTTCACAATCCTGGGGCTGTTCATCATGCCAGATTTATGGGTAAAAGTTAATTTACTTAAGACTATTTCTACTCACGGAAAGAATTCCTGAAATCAATGAAGAAAGCAGGGATGAAATTACATAAATGACAAAGTTTCTTTCTATTTTTTACACTGAGTGGTTTCTTTGAGCCGAGTTAAGTTCAGCTGCTCCGACACAGGTACACTATCTGAATAGTAGTTTAAAAAAAATATATAATTTTGAATAAATGCATAAAATAAGTATATTATTTTTACAATTTAAACATTGATAAATATAAGCTTTAATTATTAGGACATAAAAGCATTATGGCAGATAAAAAGATTCGAGAAATGGAACAAAGCTGGAAATAAATCCATACAACGACATACTTGGTACCTTGATCCATGTTTAGTCTTTTTAGCACTTGCAAATAATTGCAGAACGT